TTCCTATTTAAATAGGAACTATGTGCCTAAATTAATTTTATTATTTATATTATTTAATTATATTCTGATTATTAATTATCTCAACACAATAACAGACACACAATACAGCGCATGTCATAAACACATACACTCCACTCATAACACTAAACCATAGCATAGAATACTGTGTTAAAAGTTGGGATATTTTTTGTGATGTATACTAAAGATGTAACTTTTAGTCTTAGCATAGCTTTCTCGCTTATGCTGCCATCTCACTCATGTAAGTGAAATGTATTAAATTACTGGGAGATTATCTTCACCACGATATAATAGTCCTGGGCAATTTAACCATATAATCAGATGGTTAAAACAAATCTAATAAAAGTTTTATATAAAAATGAATTTAATTATAGCATAACATAGTTATAAACATCTCTCTCTCTCTCTCTCTCTCTCTCTCTCTCTCTCTCTCGGAATCATTAAATCGCGAAATATAACTTTATATCAATAAATGAAATTCTAGTCTCAATATAACTAACCTAATAGTGAACGAAAGGTTAATAATAAAATACATTATAACGAGTGTAATAAAAATCGAGAGTAAATATCAATCATTACTATACAAGTCATTATAAATAAAATGTAGATATAATAATACTATTGTTATTTCCCTTAAATATATACTGTATTTATAAGCAAGCTTATTTATAGTAAGAAAGCCAAACAACAACAACACAATGATATATAAATTATTGATAAATAAATATTGAATTAATGACATTAAGTAAATAAAACAATATTTAATGCAGTTATTATTTTGATGATAAATAACTATTATTAAATATGGTAGTAATCAATGGAAATATACTGGATAATAATGGTAAAAATCCGGAATTTAATGTTATATAATACTCGTGTGTTTACAGTAAAATATATATGTGTTTTAAAATCAAACTTAAACTAAAATTAGATTTAATCCAATTAATTAGATATTTATTATCCATAGACTAAACATTTAATAAAATAAAAAACAAATCAAATGCATAATTAAGTAAATATTATAAATATTTATCAGTATTTGATTTGATTGCAAATAAATCACATGAAAACAGAAAATATTGATAAATACGTGGAAATGAATATAAAAATGTGATAAAACTATTTTGAATTCAAGCCAATCGACTGATCAATCGTTTTAATAGTAATCAATAATTTATTTTGAAAAACTATACTAAAATTAATATTAAAAAATATATTATAATAATAATAAGAGGACTTGTATTGAAAGTCAGACAAAATTTCCCATATTTTGTTTATGACATCCAATTGACGTGAATTCAAGAGTTTAATTATATATACATTTTTCTTTCAAGTAGTTTTACGGTACAAAAAATGTGCCAAATATTCTCTCTCTCTCTCTCTCTCTCTCTCTCTCTCTCTCTCTGTCCATGAAAATAAAATTGTGTTTATCGGTAGATAATATACTTTCGTATGTATTAATAATGCAGTTCTCTCTCCAATGGCTTTAATATCGCCTTTTTATCACACGTTTATGTATTGCTGAATGCATTTCAATGGATAAGTGAAAGCAAAATACATACAGAAAACGCCAAAATCAACATTCAATTCACTGCATAAGAAAAATATTTTTCAATTATTTTATTAAAATTACAGACGTGAGAGAGAGAGAGAGAGAGAGAGAGAGAGAGAGAGAGCAAAGAGAGTATAGATTTCTTAAACGAGAATTAACACATCACTGACGGCTAAATCTTGATTATAATTACTATTTAAATCAAGTGTTAGTTTTATCATTCAATTATACAATTCAAGCGTTTTATAAACAGTTATCGCAAATACAGTCGCTGTTAAAACTCAATACTAGTTAACCAATGCATTGCGTTAATTGATTTTTGCATGAAATCGCTTTCACTTCACTATTTATAGCTATTATTCGCATCCAATCTCTAGTATAATAAAGATATAACACTTGAGAGAGAGAGAGAGAGAGAGAGAGAGAGAATTTTAATACTGTTGTTATGCATAGCAATATATAAGCAAATCACAGAATATTCTTGTCTTAAACACAATACACAGCAAACACTAAAAACATTTCAAAATGAGAAAAATAATTCAAATACAGATATAAAGGATTAGCCAAAAGGGACAGAAAATACATTGACAGGAATTATCAACGATTCACTGAATTTTCAATACAAATTCAGTGAATAAAAAACCCAAAAGCAAATAATTGATAATAAAAACGATCATATTTTATATACACGGATAGCACTGGCAGTCAAATAGTTATGTTTAGCTATCGATCAGCACATATCCCAGCCATTCATGCGATGGCAATGGATTTGAATCGGGGGGCAAAAGGGGGTCATTTGGATTAGATGTTAGGGCACTGGTAGTCACAAAAACATACACTACTATTAGGTTTTAATGAAAATTCTTAGTCCCAAACACTGGGGTATAGAGAAAAATAATTGCTATTAAATTGCTGTGTTAGAGATCGTGTAATTGCCAGATATAGCAAGCGTAATGTCGTGCTTATAAAATTAATCTAGATTGTTTTCGTGTGACTCTCTCTCTCTCTCTCCCAGTCCTCCCCCTTTCCCCTATCTATCGGAATGTCTAGAAATCAATTGATTTCTGCAGAGAGAGAGAGAGAGAGAGAGAGAGAGAGAGAGAGATTTGTAATATAATTTAAGCGAAAATATATTTAATCACAAAAATTGCCTTAAGTTTTTTATAGTAGATTTAATTTATTTTTTTATATTTTAGTATTTTTAGTTAAAAAAACAATTGAAAACATATTTTTAACGGATATGTGTTTTTCTCATTGCTATTATTAAATACACGATATGTGGTTATAAACATAATTCAAGTTAATTATAACGGATATGAAATGTCAGTTACTTATTATATCTGTAAATATTTAGAAATAATTAAAAGTTAATAACAAAAACAGTTGTTTTAAATGCCAGAGTATTGATATTTAATAATAATTGCGATTAAAGTGACAATGTCTAAAATTATAAATATTGTTTAATTATTGTAGCGTTAAATAATAATGTTAAACAAATGGTTGAATGGCATACCATTGAAGCATACGTTAAGTTTGATTGATTAGTATTGTATTAAATTACTATTGTATTTATCTGTGCTAAATATTGTGATTTATTTTACCAATATTAAATGTCACAATTACGATGCGTGTATTACATGATATGACAATATTATTACGAAGTTTAAAATCCATTACATGTTAATATATGTTACAGAATCTCGTAAACATTTTATTTAATGTATTTTATGATGTTTTTCATCAAAAGTATCCGTTTTTTTTTTGCTTATTTTATATGATTTTGAGTTTCATGTCTACAAAAATATGTCAATAGTTTTGACAAAATTGTATATTTTATACGAAATATCAATAAACTCTCTCTCTCTCTCTCTCTCTCTCTCTCTCTCTCTCTCAATGTTTTTATTTGAAGATTATATTAAAAATATTTCTTATGTCAATAGGTTTTGCAAAAACCCTTTGACTTCTAAGCAATAATTTAAGCACTTTTTGATTAAAAAGCGATTTCATTGTTAGGGTTATTGAATTGGATTTACAAGCGATAAGACTTTAATCGTTTATTTTTAATTTTGATTGAAAAACACATTTTTTATTATAAATAAATTGTATTAACATTAATACAGTTCATAGAAAACCATTTGAGTAAAACTGCTGAATCAAATGGATCAAGATGTTTCTATGTTATAACTTATAAACTATATTTAGGTTATCAACATTTGTGTGGTGCGATATTTTCTGGTTTTAATCACTAGTTGAAGGTTTTTCAATATACTGTACAATGCATTTAAATATTTGTTTTATATATGATGGTAAAAATCAACAACGATTTACATAAATGTAATTAATTTTGGATTAAATCATTTGCTACTTTCTCACTCTCTCTCTCTCTCTCTCTCTCTCTCTCTGTTTTAGTCTAAAGATAGGAAATAAAATACTATTCATAAAACCTATTTACTATTATATAGTGAATGATATATTTGCAGAATATTCTGTGCATTAATATTTATAAATTTGCATAAAAATAGATATTTTATAGTATTCTTTGTTTTGTTTTTACACAGAATAATAAAAATTAATCGATATTTTACACATCGAAGGGAAGAATGTATTGATTTTATATTTTGTATATTTTATTTCGGGATTATTTTATTTGTCAATTGAGTTCTCTATTAGTCTCTCTCTCTCTCTCTCTCTCTCTCTCTCTGTTTAGTCTAAAGATAGGAAATAAAATACTATTCATAAAACCTAGTAAATAGGTTTTATGAATAGTATTTTATTTCCTTTACCAGTAGCGCTGAAAGAGCACTGATGTGTATATTGTTTGTATTGTCTTTATTTTATGTATAATAAATGTTTAAGCATAATATATCTATTTTATTAATTGTGAAAATGTATGCGTGTGTACAGTGCGAGTGTATGTTAAGGGTATCTCCAGAAGGACCCCTCCGGGGGTGTATAAGCCCATTTTTGGCGGGCTTACAATATTGTGGATGTGCAATATATAAACGGTTTAATTACTAAATATAATTATTTATCTTTCATTTTAAATCAAAGCATAATATAACAACATTTTGTTATTTAATAAAAATTAATTGTCAAAATTTAACAACTCTTTTTAATTAAATACAAATTTAATCCCGAACGTAATATTATCAGTTTTTAATAACTAATTTCAAATGTGTGCGGTGTCATTTTAAAATTGCAATGTTTGTTATGTTAAATCTAAAAATTTGTATAATTATTATAATATGAAACTCGGTCTAGTGCTTATAGATCCCTAAAATAATTTGGTCATGTTAAAACTGGCTACTCCGCGACCCGATATAAGTTAGACTAATACATGGTCCACCACCAATGTAAACGGAGCTGCGACTTAACGCTCGTATAACGCTTACAGCCGTGGAAATATAAACTCGAACGTGTTAAACAGGTGTCACTCGTTGACCATTTTAGCGGTAATATTATGGCCACCGCTGGGGCTGTGCATAGCATTAGAAATAATCTGATATTGACTATCATATTGGGCTAACAACTGCTCGAACCGTGCGATTGTGGCCTGATTTTGGGCACCGGGCGGGCCGTGTCTTTCGTTGGCTATCAGGTGCCGGACGTAATCCCCGAACGCGTCGTTTACAGGAGTTAACGCATTGTTGGCCAGAAAACAGGCAAACATTGACATCGACTGAACGATTGTCTCGCTCTCGGCGTTCAAATCGACAATCCGTTGGTCCAGACGTCGGATTTGCAGCTCTTTGGCCTCAGCGGCCAATTGGGCCGACACGAGCTTATTGTTGATCACTTGATCGGTCACCTTGGTCACTTTAGACTCGGTCTCGTAGTACAGATGCAGGTGCTTTTGGTAACTATGGCCACACTTTTGACAAGTGGTCGACGATATAAATATAGACATAAACTTATCGGATAACGACCGGGAAAATGACGGCTTAGACCAGTAAGGATTGCGATCTGTGCCGCTGTATTTGTTGAACGCTTTACACCGGAGTAAACCCTTATTGCCAACAATATTACCATCGCTAAAGTCCAAGTAGCATGGTGAATGACATTCGGTAGTGTAATTGATCTGGGTTATCTCATTGGTTATATGCCGTTTACAACACTGGCCGTCACCGCATACAGTCTTTGGTCGATCTAATGGTGTGGTTATTATCTCAACCGATGGTATGTATAGTTTATGGCGAAGTTCTTTAATGGTTCCCGAACTTTGTTTGATACCAACGCTATGTCTTTGGCACTGATTTATGTTATCCGCGATATTCTTCGTGATGTCGGCCAACGGTTTGGTTAACATTTGAATGATTTGTTTGGTGTCGTTCACCGATAGTGTGTCCATCACTTTGTGTGGTGTGAGTTGTATTATGCGCTCAAATAAACGTTTACATTCATTCACAGATCTATCATAAATAAACATATTTAGTATTACAAAATAAATAATAAATATAATAAATAGTAAAAGCATAAAATAAATAGTATTATAAAAATAAAAACGTATAACATAAATAATAAAGTTTTATTATAAACAAAAAAATATTATATTTTATAAATGTTAAATTAATGAAAACGCTTACATTTTCCAACTCTCAACATAACTGGACTTATATTTCGGGTCAAACTGTATATTATTTGGCGGAACCGAAGCCACGAGATATCGAAATGACTCGCAATCGAAACAATAGACTGTATTCTTGTTATAAGGGATGTCAACATTTGGCGGCCTTTCTTTAATTTGCTTTAAAATAGTCATTAAAGCGGGACCGGAATCCCCGGGCATGTAATGAGTGCTCCGGGCGTTTGTAAACAAAAATAAAATATTATTTGCGGCGCTTTTATTCAAATGACTGAATAATTGAAACAAACAATACTTAAAAATCACATCAACTCTCGCATCGTTTGGCTTTAATAAAACACAAAAAGCGTTGATTTCCCGATAATTGCTAAGAAAATCTAATATATTTTGCATATTTCTATCATCTTTGTCTACGCCATCCGTGTCCGCAATTCCCGGCGTATCAATAATATTGAGCACAATGTTATCGTTTTGAAATTTATAACATTTAGGGTATTGTGTGGCAGATTTTGTTGTGTCTGCAGTGTTCTCATTTAAATCCTGGTCACCAAATGTCACTTTCACGGGTATTCCTGTTTTTGGGTCTGTAATACCAAAACCTCCGGGTATTAAACATATGGGCCGTCCGTTCGCCGCATCCATACTCTCGAAAGACATATAGTTTACGATTGAGTTAATAAATGTGGACTTTCCCACACCTGTCTCTCCCAATAATAATATTGTGAGTTCTTTCATTTCCTTGTGAAGTACAATACATGATTAATTTAGTAATAACTTTAACTTATTATTAAATTTAGTTTTAGCTATATATAATTACTATTTCAATTTTTATTAATTAATATTTATCTATTATTTATGAATTAAATAAAACATTTTAACTATCCATTAATTTATATAACTTATTATTATTATTACTGTACTGTATTTGTAAGACTTTTAAAATATGTATTACTTTTAAAAATATTTTATTAATAATATAGATAATTTGTAATGAAATAGTTAAATGGTTAAATTAATAAGTAATAAACAAATAAATTATTATTCTAAGGCATTTTTAAAATGGATCATGATTAAAATGATCAGTGATTAAATTACTAATTTAAAAAATGCAATACAATAAAATATTTTATATTTACCTTTGCTGCCATATTACCTTAATTAAATCTAGAAAGTGGCACATTCTATAAATAATGTTATAATAAAATAATCACAATCATTTAAATCAAATTTTGATAATATATCAAATTATATATAAATATTATAGTAACAATTCATTAGTTTATTAATAATTACTAATATTTGTTTTAAATGTTTAAAAAATAGTTTACGTTATCTCTGAATCATAATAAAAATTGTATAAATAATAAAATATCTATATTACGACAACAAATATTGCTAACTTAAATAGAATAATTATGCACATAACATATATTATGTGGTATACGTTAATCAGTAAATAATAATTTATATCTTTTATAGATAATATTGTTTCTACTCATAATTATAAGTACTATTGTTCAGTATGTGCTTAAAAGATATATATTTAAAATTTTAAATATTAATTATAATTTATATTAAGTAATTGATTAATGAAACAAGAATTTGTTTAATAAATAAATAAAATATTATCCATTATTTGTATATAAAACTTATTTTAGAATTAAAAAAACTTATTTTTGAAATATTATTTAAGAGAACCACAAATGTAATGTATTTTAGTAAATAATTTCTCAAATGATGATTAGTTTATCACGTATTTATGACTACTTATAATAGATTACTTAACGCTTTCTAAGGTATTCTTATAAGTTTCGCAATATTATAAATAATAAAACCTCAATATTATTAATATTTATGGCTTAAAACTACAATTACATGACAACTGATTAACACCATCATTGAATTGACTGATATGTACCATAATTTTGTACACATATAAAATTATATATTATAGTGTTATTAGGATATAAAAATATATAAAATGTTATTAATTGTTTAATACAGTTTTATAATTTTCATAAAATGTTCCTTTATGTACAAATATTTTCCACTTTAGAATTACACGTGTTATTTTGTATTAAAATACATTATTAATAATAAGTAAAAAATACATAAATACTTGTTTGAACAAATATTAATAAACTAATTGTAACATGGACAATACACCACCTCCTAAGCCAAGGTATGTGATATTTATGTGTTTTTACAATAAGTTAATCTGGTAAAAGTAAATATTTTTAAAATTGTAACAATAATTTGTACAATACAACATTAAAATATAATGACAACTAACCATAAATAATAGGCGCCAAAAAAATAATGCAACAAAAGATATGGTTGTGGATCAGTCTAGCGATAATACGATTGTACATGATGATATTGAGGCAATTGGAAAAACATTTGCTAAAACAACCCTGGATACATTACCATCACAACAGGTAATACATGATCAAAAGGAATATAAAATTTACTAACTTATATTATTAAATTATTAAAAAAATTCTATATTTAAATTCTAACTTAAAACTACACCCAAAAATGTAATTCATTCGTTTGAATTGCTATATCAATAATAAAAACATAGAAAAGTATAGATTAGTACAGAGTATTTAGGTTAAAAGATTGCATAGAGTTTTAATTAATAATAATTAAATGAGAAACTCGATGAGTTTATTTTTAATGTAAAAATGCATTTAATTTACAATTAATTTAGAAACGAGAGATTACAATACTACTGTTGGGCCAGTCGGGTGTGGGAAAGTCTACATTTATAAATGCCCTGGTCAATTATTTATCATTTGAAAATATGGATGAGGCAAATGGACAACCAATATGTTTAATACCCGTGAGCTTTACGATAGCGGACCCAATGACAGTCAGACCAGTGAGTGTAGCACTCGGTGACCAGGATTTTGATGAGAACACTGAAGACCCGACTAAATCGGCCACAAAAATACCCAAATGTTATAAATTTCAAAACGACAATATTGTGCTCAATATAATCGATACGCCGGGAGTTGCGGACACGGCTGGTGTGGACAAAGATCAGACACATATGCAAAATATATTGGACTTTATAAGCAATTATCGGGAAATCAATGCCTTTTGTGTGCTTTTAAAGCCAAACGATGCGAAAGTTGACGTAGTGTTTAAGTATTGTATGTTTCAATTGTTCACTCATTTGAATAAAAGCGCCGCAAATAATATACTATTCTTATTCACAAACTCCCGGAGCACTCACTACTTGCCCGGGGATTCCGGACCCGCTTTGATCAGCCTTTTAGACCAAATAAGAGAAAGACCACCAAATGTTGACATCATTTATAATAAGAAGACTACTTATTGTTTCGATTCCGAGTCCTTTCGATATCTCGTGGCTTCGGTTCCGCCAAATAATATACAGTTTGACCCGAAATATAAGTCTAGTTATGTTGAAAGTTGGGACAGGTTGGTGCATTTTATTATATTTAAAGCCACAATTATTTAAAATTTTAATATTAAATTAGTTTTACACTCTTAAAAATATAATTTTTCACTAAACATACAATCAAATATATAGGGTGGAGATTAATCAACTATACAAAAGTAAACTCGAATATCTCGAAAGGTATTCGGTCTAGAAATTCAAATGATATATCAAAATACTCATCAACTGCGGGGGTTTTTGTTATGATATGGTCAATA